TATATCACCATTGCGTGGTCATCTTCAGCCTCACTAGTCTGATTAACAACTTTAACGTGATCTATTTGAAACCAACGTCCCTTAAAGGTGCTGTGCTGATCTAACTAGCCTCCCCTCCCCTCGTTGATAAAAAATGTCATCGCTATTGCCATCGATCACCGCAGCCGTTGTCATCGTCGTTGTTTTCATTGCCTTAGTTTTTAATTGATCATCATCATGTGATTTTGTTTTGCTCGACTGCCTGTTTATTTTCACAAAAATGTAAAGAGGGTTAAGGTGACCAAAACTCTTTTCAAAAAAAGTTACGGTGGTGCCAATTTTTTTTAAGTAAGGTCAAGGTAAAACAAGCATCAAAAAACGTCCCTCAAAGGATCGGCACAAAAAAAAAACAAAACTAAACAAACAAATCAAGCAAAACAACACACAGCAAAAACAACAACAGAAACAAAACAAAACAAAGAGAACAAACCTTCGCACGAGGGATTTTCCCCAGTTGGCTCCAGTAATTTGGATTGAGCACAAGTCTTCCCTCCAGGTCCCTTTAATTGATAGCCATATTTGCAGGCGAATAGGCAAAGTGTTTCGTAGGGAATAGTGGCGTTGGTATTAATGCAAGAACGAGGTGTTACCTCCAACCCCTCCACGGAACCAATTGTCAATGATTTGCAGGTGATAGCTATGGATTAATAAGAAATGTAAGAAAAATGTACATAAACCATTTCAATCAAATCAACATAGAGATATCAACGAAAATAAAGATGGGCATTCCATTCCATTATGAAACTGAAAACCAAACCATAGTTATATGCCAAAACCCAAACTACTAACTCATCCCTTTGGGTGTCTTTAAATGCTTCTCCACAACCTTTCAGCTCTCACCTTTGCACTGAAGAGGATCTCCATCCCACTGTCCAGTCTCCTTACAAGTTACTCTTTCCGATCCTTTCTCAGCTTCAAATCCACGATTACAACGGAAGAAACAGTTTGTGTTGTAACGGGGCCTGGAATCATTGCAACCCAGACCAGCCTTCATTGTGTTGGCCGGAGTATTGAGGCTAAAACAGCGAACAACTGAAAAAATGCGATGAGAACACGTCATGTCCATTATTTAGCTATATCGATGCGAAGTGATTTTTTGTTGTTTTTTTTTTTGCCTACTATTTAAGAACATCTAGTTTAGAATATCGAGAGACTAAAACCTACATTGTTTTAGACTTGACCTTGTGAGTGTTTGATGACCATTGAATTTTTGTTTGAATTCCCAATTAAAGACATGAAGTATAAAAAAAGACCTTCTTCCAGTGATTTTATAATTTCGTAACCTAACCACATCTGGCACTTTATTTTTTGCAATAGTAATGTATGATATTTTTACACTGTAATCACTTTTTCCTTGAATCAATATGCATGTACAATGATGATTAGCTAAGTGAATGCTTTGGATGATGCTTAATACAGACGATTTCCTCTTCTTATTTAAACAGGGACTTTGAATTACAAATCAAAGTGGTGGTAGATCTGCAAATGGATTGCATGAATGGGTTCGTGTAGTTAGGACTTAAGTCTAGGGATGAAGCATGGTCGGTTTCAACCACCTCATTCGACAATATCAACATTGTAAGTTGCACTTTCAATGCAAATTACGAGATAGCAATGGTACTAAATCACGGGGAATTCAAACTAGTGCAACATGTCAACTTACTCGCACAAGAAGTTTCATTTCCCTTCCAGTACACCTCGTCTGTGCCAATCTTCTTGACACATTTTCTTTCCACAGACCCAGTTATTTTGTATCCTTTGTTACAGGCAAAGCGACAGGAACTGCCATAAACATTTCCACAAGTACCATTCTCAAACTTCCCGTTTGCAGGTGCAGGCAAAACGGAACACCGAAGAACTAAAGGTGTAATTCAGTCACATGAAATCACTTCAAATTTTCTATAAATTAGTTCGATATTTCAGTTGTATTGATAGCCTGACTCTACATCGTGAGATAGGCAATAAACCTTTCATTTTTACATGTTACCACGATGAAAAACATCCTCTAAAACAAAATCTCTTCTGGTAATCTTTCATGAGCGTTACATCTCGAATCAATCAAGAACTTGTGTATACATGCCCGAATTCATGTTTGCGTACCGTTTATTATCGACTCGCAATATACACTTCTGAATGCTTCAGATTACAAATAACATTGATATATGGGGCCAAAGGCGTAGCCTATTCAATTATCGCTACTACGTAGATAAAGCTAAGCTGTAAAAAAATTGTGTGCCCCAAGACCCTAAAAGGAAATAAATGTTCCATCAATCTCTTTTAAGAGCAGTTATTAAAAAACTACGCTTGAACCTAACGTCGTTTAAGGAACTTAGTCCGGTACGATCTTAAAAGTCAAGACACAAATAAACCTAAGAGTTCTAAAATGGTATACCCACAGACCCTAAAATGGCGATAAATGTCTAAAATCTATACTTAAAACTGATTTCGTTGGAGGAACTTAGTCCGATAGGACCTTGAAAGTCCTGGCAATAATTAAGGGAGCTAGAAACTAAAGCTTTCTACATGTTCCTTAGCACTGAGTCACATCGGCCACTTCCAACCAGTTGGCGTACGCTTTCCTTGACCCTTCGCGAGCTCCCTCCAAGTGCGTCTCTTGTGATGTTATGCTGCTCAATCTTGAACTCTGCGTATTTCCTTCTTAATTCCGTTCCGTTTATTATTTTTATTGATATTACTATTATTATTGATATTATTATTATCACTATTATTATTATTACTATTAATGCCATTACTGTTATTATCATCTTGTACCTTGAACAGAGACTTTAAAAAAACAGCGTGCTTTGTTTCCTGATGGGTCCTCTGCTTCGTAAATCAGAGTGGTGATTCCCTCGGGAAATGCGTGTGGCGAGGTCACTTGGGGGAAAGATGATAATCTAACTACACCCGAGTTGTCTGTCGCTGTAGGTTTGATTAGCTCTAAGTCCAGTGTAGCTGTGATTCTTCCTTCTTCTGCGATGTAACTTTCTGGCTCTGATGGGCATGTTTTTCCAAATGAGGGATCTTCAACGTCTTAACAACAAAAAACAAACAAGACCTCGTTTATCATGTCATAATTCATCATAAGTGGTATATTTAGCCAACACTGAACGCCCAATTTAATAAAGAAATGAACAAACGAAGTAACAAAGACGCCTCACAAGCAAGCGTAACAAATGAGACAGAGACAAGCAAAGAAAAAGAAATTCGGACAAAGTCCACCCCCCTTACCCATCACGATGCATAGGCTAAGAATTCGATAAGTAGATAAAGATCGGTGGTGTTATAATAAGTTACTTATTGACTGAGTTGGCCCAGGCCTTACAGGAACATTTTCGGAAATATTAGTACATAACTCGTTCAGGACCACAACACCAACAATAACAAAAATAAAAAAACAAACAAACAAACAAAAAAACAACTTTACGCTTACCTTCGCAAGTAGAAAAAGAAAATCTCCAGTGTCCATCGTCACATATATTTGAGTTATGTCCTTTAACTTTGTAACCTGGATCACATTCGTAGACACATGTACGACCATGAAGAGGTTGCTCGTTACATATTGCCGGAGTTATTTTACCATTGTCCAGCTCGCTTAAGGCTTGACATTTGCGCACTAAAATATGAAACATCGGAGAGTAGAAGTGACATTTCAAATCAGAAGACTTCAGATATTGTACTAATTCCCTCTAATAAGTTTATTTTAAACAAATTCTTACGCAACTGACCCCTCTTCTTAAATGAGCTACATCGACTTGCTTGCTGGTAATTAAAGTTCCTAATCTCCGTTATTTACCATGCCAATTGATCTGACATTATTAGTTGCTTCTGTTTTATTAGTTATATACTATTAGGTAAATATCAAATTCAGAGGTCGTGGTCTTACTAAACAATAACTTGAATTAGTTTCAAAGATCCACCTTCACATAGTGTAGGGATTTTTAAAAAAAAACTCATATCAATTTGAAAAAGAAAACAAACCAAAAAAAAAGACAACAAAAACAACAACAAAACAGATAAATTTGAATTACCTCTACACTGAAATACGTTAGTATCGCTCCATTTTCCATCTGTACACTCTACGTACTCAGGTCCGATAGGTTCATACCCTCGATCGCATGTTCGAAAGCATGCATCTTCATGCCGTGGGTTGGATTCGCATATAGAAGGAGTAATACTACCATTAGCTGGTGCACTCAGTCTTTTGCATTCTTTCTCTGCAATATTGATGGTACGTTAGAACTAAATGACAAATACCAAGCCCTTAACAAAGCAGGGTACGCATATCTCCTATTTCGCTTCCAGTAAGGACCAATGGCTACATATTGCAACTCTCTCTATGGACAACTCTCTTTCAAGGACAATTTCTTCTGCGCTGTGAAGATTTAAGGAAACTATATATAAGTCCCAAAGAGGAAAGACCAAAAGACTTACAGCTTCATTATGGAAACTGAGACGCTGGACTTCGACTTCGTCTCGGTTCATAAAAAACGCAAAAAAAAAAAGAGAAAAAATTGCCCAATATCTAGCCATCTTTATATCACGCTTGGTCAATAACACATAGATCATTCAAATACCCGTTTTAAAAGGTGAAATTTGATTCTGGCTTTAAATACTCCCGTTGCACTTGCACTACCTGTGTCCAGCTGGTTTGCATTCCAGAGATTTGGAGTAAAACATTTAAAAGAACACTCAACGAAGGTAACTTTTGACTGAGAAAAGGATGACTGAGTATGAGTCTATCTTCTTCTTTTGTAAGACTTTGTCTAAATACTATAAACGAATAATTTGTGTTTGCTTGTGTTGTTTAGAAATTCTCTTATGCTCTTTCCATTTGATGTCCGTAGCTGAGAGGTTGGACCACATATCGTCAAAGGTGCAGTTACTCAAAACCCTAAATCATACCTGAGACTGAGTATTGTGCAACTGAAACGAAATCACTGAGACATTTGTTTCGATCTCCAGTCGTTAACCCTGTGAGTCATCTACTCGTTTATCGAGTTTAATTACTAGCTATTGGGGATTTTAAAGCTATATAAGGGGATTTAGGTGGCTCACTTACGATACTGTTACCTAAATTTTCTATTAAGCTACTAAACTTGTTTCAAAAGAATTGTTTCTGGTACAGAACTCCCAAATCCACGGCTGATTAATCAAAGCACGGTGTACGTAAGGTAGGGATAATTTGTCAACCTGCGTACAAAGGTTTTACTATTCATATTTGGTTTCCCGATTTGAATCATCCCTTTGATAATTTTACACCTACAAAACTCGTGCGATCTGTAAAAAGAGAAAAAAATTAATAAACTTACTCTCGCATTTCTTTGAGTCTGCCGGCGACACTCTATAGCCCTCATCGCAATAGCACTTGAAAGTAAGTGGACTTTCTTTTATATGATTGTAATTTAGACATTCATGCTGGCATCCGTCCAACTCACGTTTACACTCGTTGCAGTCTTTCTTGTCTTCGGAATCCCCTTCACATTTAGCTCCATTGCCGGCCGGGCATGGATCGTCACAGTTGCGTCTTCTGGTCAATAACCCATTGCAACAAGGAGTGTCCTCCCAGCTGATTGGATGCCACGAACTCCAACCGCCATCTCTAGACCCTAGAGATTATGATTAAAGTAACGGAATGAAAATCAGTTATGCCAAATTAATTTCACGCTTTAAAATAGATTTATTGCACACCAAATAACCAGCCATGACACCAAAGGGATGATTAGATTTAGCGTTAACAATTTGAATATCTGTTTGTTTGGAATTTTTTAAAGAAAATTGTTTGTCGGTTCTCGTGCTCTTCCATTAAAGAAGCAGTTTACCTTCTAGTAAACGCAAAAAGTAATATTTCTCCAATCTAACGAATACCATTGCGAACACAGCTCGTGCTTCGCTGAGCATTTTTTCTGTCCTTTTCATATTTTCCTCCCAATGTACAAGGGCTTTGTATAAGTTATTTCGGTTTATTGTGATCTTTCTTGCAAAACAACCTCAAAGTATTAGAAAAAATGTTATGATTATTTCATGCTTATTCATTGTGAGATGAATATTTGTAAGATCATTCACCATGATTCAATAATAATTTTCGCGACTACCGCACAATGAATGTAACTTACAAGGTAAACATGCATCCACGGTATATTGCTTGATTCCGAGAGTTATCCATAAGAGAATGATGGTATATTTCTCGAGAGGTTTCAGATGCATCCCTAAAGCATCAAGCTAAAAGAATAGACAATTGTAACAGAAGAACAGATCAACAAAGGAAAAATAACAGATCTTTAGCTTTTTAATTACCAAATTTCATCAAATCTGGCAATGCAACAGTTCTCGGCGAAGATAAAAACTGGGGAATAAAACCTTGCTAGCTTGATGTTGTGCAACTCTTTTATTTAAAGCATAAACGACTATAAAAAACTTCCGAAAAATAATATATTAAAGTTTAAAAAGCAACTAGATGGACAAGCACACATGGTTTGATGCTATTGTGGTTTAAGGATTTAATGAATGAAACCAGAGAATTACAATGCGTAGACCCGCAACTATTCGACACTCTTGTCTAGTGCCTTCATCAGGGGTGATCTATGCGTTGCAATAAGAGGTCCACTTATATGCTCCCTATTTGGCAGAAATATACCCCAAACCTAAGGATCCCGTCATGAAAGAACAACGAACGCTATATATTCTATTCCGTGCAACGACTGTGATAAGATAGACAGGGGTGTCGAAACGTTGGGTCTATGAATTTTAATTCCCCGGTTACATTCATTAATTCCTTAAACTAGAATAGTATTTAAAAATCTCTTTTGATTTATGTTAATATGAACAGTCAACTTAATCATATAATTTATAAATTGACATCATGCGCGCTCTGTTCGGTGAAGTAAAATTCCAGAGATCCAGAGATAAATGGATTGAATCTAGAGGCATCAAAGTATATCAACTGCGTTTCGAAAGTGATCATTGAAATGAAGCCATATTTTTCACTGTCTCTCCTTCCTGACACAGCGATTAGGAATGTTTCCAATTTTTTCTGCCTTTTGTATAAAGAAAGATCCTTTTAGGAATTGTTGCTCTTTTGCACAGACACCAAAGTGAGGTATGTGTTTCGTCTTTTTTCCCATATACTTAACAGGAAGCAGGCTTTTAGGTGGACCCAAATAAACCCAAAATATATTTACATATGGCCTATGGATACCAGTTTCTAAAAGAGTATTATCTTCCCATCATTGTAGCTGATTTGTGACAGAATCTCTGCGCGTCCTTAACACAATTCCAAATACATGCTGTATCTTCCTTGTGAAAGTGTGAACTTCCTTGTTGGATCAAAATGCAGTGCAGGTTAATTAATCGTTCAATCGAACGTTCAGAATCTATTTAGAAAATACATCTAGTCAATACAATACTGCCAAGTCTTACCTTTTGAAGTTAGTTCAATCCTTTGAGCAGATACAGTTTTCCGTCGTTAATATCAAGATAGAAAGAACGATTAAACGTAACACTCGACTGAACAAAATTAATTAATTAATTGCGTAGGAACCAACAACAGACAACAAGCTCTTTGCATGACTTGATCGCGTGATCAACTTTCGGTAAACATGAAAACAGTTCACTTTTGAAGAATTTTGTTTGCACAAGATGAAAGAGCATATTATCTCAAAAGCAGCGATTGCAGCGACCGCCGAAAGTTAGAAGTATTTGCTTAAGAAAAAAAACTCTTGCCACCCAGTCACGCTGATATGGTTTTCCGTACAAATCCTTCTAATTTTGAAAAATTCAAAACTGTCATGAAATCTTTCCTTAAGCATTACAGGGCTCAAATCTCCTTTTAATTCCAAACAGGCAATTGAAGCCCTTAAATGCGTAAGGGAAAGATTAAACGACAGTTTTGAACATTTTAGAATTTACAAGGATTTGTATGGTAAACCATGTCAGCGTGACTCGGTGGCAAAAGTTGTTTTTCTCATACAAATGCTTCTAACTTTCGGCGGCCATTGCAATCGTCGAATGGGACTCCAAAGGGCACTTTTTCCTGCAAACTCAAAATCAAATGGCATTTCAACATATTTAGCGCGCCTTTGGTTTCAAAATTGATATTTTACCTTTTGATAGACCGGTTGTTCTTTCATCGTTTCAGAATGATATCATCCAACAAAAGTATTAGAGTAACCCTTTCTTCCACCTCACTCTTGTCATCGAACAAGAACACATACGGCAGTTACACTGTCCTAAATCATTTTCTCCCTATTTCCGAATTTACTCAGGAACGATTCATGAAGTTGGTGTTGGTGCTTTTGATGAGGAGTTCACAGTCAGACGGAGGTATTTACATATTAATAGAGTGAACTAGAATTAGATCTTCTTAAGATGCCATCCCGTCCATTCTTTTGTGTTGTGTGCACCAACTATGAAAATACGCTAAGGCGATGTTTGAAACTAAGCCTATAGAAAATGAACCGTTAACAACGTCGGGCATTATTACAATTGATATCTTTTGCTCGATTTTTTGTTTAAACTCAAGTTCTCCGGCAGACCCTGTTGAAAGTCCCAGCTAGGTTTCTTTTTTGACGAATGGGATTCCAAAGGGCACTGTTTCTTATTACCAGTCTCAAAATCAATAAATAGGAATTCAAAGATTTTTCGAGTCTGCATACCTGTTTTAGTAGCGCGCCTTTGGTTTCAAAATTGATATTTCCTCTGATTTAGACCGATAGTTCTTTTATTATTTCTTTATGAATAATCTTTGTTTGAGAGCACTTTGACTTTCCAGACTTCCTTCATGGATACATTTTTTGTGGATATCAGTCAGTCAGTCAGTTGCTTGCACTACTTCGGAGAATTCAATTTATGTATCCGGCTTCACAAGTCATGCGCACCAGCTCAGACAGTGGTGAACATCACTTGGATTCTCCTACGAGAATGTGATATGGTGCGTTGCCGGCCTGATAACGCACTATGCTCGGAAAGATCACTCTGTTAATTATACGCACCTCTTGCAATCAGTTTAAAAAATGAAAAATAGTTAGCAGAGTTGTAAAAGTCACTCTTTCTACTCCTCCATCATTTTTAGACACTGATCAGTCGGTTGTCAACACTATAATCCGGCAGTTGTACAGGCTTATTCGACTCNCACATATCTTCAAACATTTACAAAACTCAGAAATTTGTTGTCAATCTTGCTCTGCAGATTGTTTTGAAATCCTTGATTCTGCTCCTACTAAATTTCAACTTAAACTTAAGGAGGCTATGCACATAAACTGGGAAAAGCCTAATTTAAACCAACAAGTTCATCACGTCAACATGACGCTTACGCTTTAGGCTTTATATTCTTTCCAACACTTTGTTACTCACTCAAATATGTAATTTTTGTCACTTAATCATAATTAATTATGCATGTTTCGCCTAGTTGTTATATAGTCCTAACGGTTTTTCAAATATTCTGTAACTGACGATGATGTTCGTAACATCGAAACATGTCTTGGAAATGTAAAAATGTCGTACTCTTCTTGAAGATAACGATTTGCTTTCTGCTGTCTCGACCTTTTGAAAAGAATTTCTGGTCTCTGTTCGAAGCTGATCATCAGACCTTGCAAATAAGCTGAGATGGCTAGTCAAATTTCACCCTTCCTGTATCTGCAAATGCATTTGTTAAGTGTAGTTTACAAATACGTTGTAGCGGAGTAAATGTCTAGTGAGAGTCCATTTCCTCCATATCAAATGTTAACGTAATTTACCAGACCCGTTAATCAACTAGTTATCTGCTGGAGTTTGATCTTTAAGAGTATTGAGCAATTTTTGACTTGTTGTTCATTTCCCCTTCCTCCATTTTTTCTTTCCTGTTTGCAACTTTTGTTTACCAACGTCAGCAGCTATCAGTTTCTTGCTGCAGCAGTTTTCAAACGGAAATGCATCGAAAAATGGCAACATTTTTTTTAAATTGGTGAATGATTATAAAAAATACTGACTTAAATCAGCCTGCAAGAAAATAATACTGCATCTAAAGAGCAGGCATTTAACACGCAAGCTTTTCAGCCGGAGGGGAAGAAATGGATAGTTCGATTTCCATCAAGGAAAAATATTTCTTTATTGGAAAGTCGTGCATAATGTATACCCATTTCAACAATTTGGTCTTTACCTCTTTGAAAGAAGGCACTCTTTTTTTATTGTGTCCATGTTAAGAAACTTCGTCCTCGTTCCTTCTAAAAGCACAAAAAGAATGATTTCACTGGACAAAAGCATCAGGGTAACACTTTCTTCCACCTCACTCTTCCCACCGAACAAGCACACAAACGGCACATAAACTGTGCTAAATCATTTTCCCTCTATTTCTGAATTTACTCAGGAACGATTCATGAAGATGGAAAAAGTTTAAATGTTTTGATAAAGTTGGTGTCAGTGCTTTTGATGAGGAGTTTACAGTCGGATGGAGGTATTTACATCGTTAATAGAGTGAACCAAAATTAGATCTTCTTGAGATCCCAGCCTGCCTATTCTTTTGTGTTGTGTGATCTATTTGTTCTTGTTGTGTGCATTAACTACGAAAATACGCCAGGGCATGTTTGAAACTAACCCTATAGAAAACGAAACAATAACGTGGGATATCATTATAATTAATATTCTTAGCTTGATTTTGTTTAATCTCAAGTTCTCCGGCAGACCGTGTTGAAAGTCCCAGCTAGGTTTCTTTTTTGCATGGTAGCAAAATGTATAGACAAATAGGATTCCAAAGGGCACCTTATTACCAGTCTCAAAATCGATAAATGGGATTTCAAAGATTTCTCGAATCTGCATACCTGTTTAGCGCGCCTTTGATTTTCAAAACTGATGTTTAATCTTTTGATTTAGATCGCTTGTTTTTTTACTATTTCGTTATGAGAATCCTTGTTTGAGAGCGCTTTGACTCTCCAGACTGCCTGGGCAACCTGAAGGCCAGTGGTAAGCAAGTAATTTTTCCCTCTTCACAAGCAAAATTAAGAAAAAAAATCCTTTATACTAACCAATCAGCATCCAGTAATATTTCCCTCTATGCCATTGCATAAAAAAATGCAGCGCAATGATTATCATGGGAGGATAAAAAAGGGTATCAAACTTCTAATGGTGTGGATTGAAAAGTAAATTCAATGTTAAGCTAATTAAATTGAAAATAAAGAAAAATTATTGAAAATATTTAGTCTATTGGCAAGGGAATGCAATGTCTTAGGCGCAAAATGAACGATTTTTGATAAATCTCTTCTTAATCAATGCTAATCAACGTCATTCCTTATATGATAACCACAAGGCGCTTGACAAAACCTCTTTATATTTTTCAAACTTTTAAGACAAAGTAGATGAGTTAATATTTTAGTTTTTCTAAGCGCTTTTCTGAACTTCAATCTCAAACTTATATTTGATCATCACACCATAAAAATTCTTAAAAACTTGACTAGGCAGTGTTGGACCAGATGGTGTCTGGCCTACTTGTAGCTGTACCCCCTGCCCCAAGGAGAAAGGGAGGGGAGGGAACTGCTACGAAAATCTGGCACGAATTATTTTTTATGGCGCCACACTTTGTTTACGCACCTCGTGTTTACGCATTTAGTTTGGTGTAAAACTATTTCTCCATTTAAATGGCTGGTTTCTTTTCACCGATAACTGCATTATGTAAATCCCCATCTTAATTGGCATTGAATAAAAGTAATACACATGGAAATAAAATGTTTTTCATCTTATCACTAGCGTGGGGCTACGAAAAAATTCTAAGTCCCTATGACAAATCGAACCTTAGACCTTCGGATTCCGTGCTCTGATGCTCCTCTACTGAGCCACAGAGACTCTATGGTGAGCGAAGCCCATTACGAAGTTCATATGTGACACGCATTCTGCATACTTCTAGGATCGGAAACATTATTTTTAAAACATTTCTTTCCGAGCTCAAAAGTTACCATCTTTCCTATTCTTTATAAAAGTGATGTAGTTGCTTTCGACCATGGAAAACCAGACATAAATTAAGTCACTTTTAATTTTATAAGAGCAACGGTCATGGACGTCCATTTTAGCATGATTAGTTTTGAACATAATCGAGTAAGCAGTAGCTGCCTTACTGAGCCCCAATCTCATAATACTGTTCGATCTTAAGGCATAAACATTTTAGATACGTGATTGTACCGAAAAAAACATCCCGACTTGAATCGAGATGAAATAGCACTGAAGCTCTTCATTAACAGAAGAGCTGGAGCAAAAGTAAATGTTTACCGATTCTTTCGTTTTGTTTTCTGTTTTTTGTTTTTTTTTTTTAATGCCAAATTTTGTTTAAGAACATTGTACAAATAAAGTCAACTTCACATGACCTTTTTTTCTTTCTGGCTTAGCCCTTTTGTCTTCACGAGCGTCCGAAGATTTATATAATCTGCAGGGTTATTTCTCGACTAAACCAATCTAATGAAACAGATTTGCTTTTCGCGATAGGGAAAGTTTTTGGGTGTTTATATGTTGTAGATATGCCAATTTTAGATAATTATCACGAGAAAGACACACTTCTTGCAGTAATTCGTCTTCAAAATAACTTCAACATCGATAGGAAGAAATATGATTGACACATTTGCATCGCAAAGAGAGACATGGACCTAGTCTGAGAATTTGCAGCCGTTTTAATATTCGCCGTCATGAAGTAGACAGGTACAAACATGATTAAACATAAATTGAGTAATTGAACTTTGTAAAACCAGACACTTTGTTCCTTCTGAATATATAACTTTGGAAGGGCAAACGCGGCAAAATGCTTCGCATTGTAAGTTATTGAGTTTAGATTGAATTGGTTTGTGCCGTTTAGAATATTATGGCGTATTCTGATATAACAGCGTAACTCCTAGCAGGCTAATTCAACTAATTTAATACTGATTAAATAATTTTTCATTGGCGACACGCTTAAATGACCCCGTACGCAATAAGCCCAAACTTGAACACTCACTCAAGTTGTATGCCATCTTTTAAACATGAACCCCATTCTTAGCTTAAAAATGCATTCAAATGATAATCGTTAATCAATAATCAATGCTTATCAACGTCATTCTATATCATAATGATACTCACAAGGCACCTAAGAAAACCTTTTTTTTTCTAAACTTTTAATATGAACTAGATGAGTTGAAATTTAGTTTTTCCAAGCGCTTTTCTGAACATTAATCTCACAATTATAATTAACCTTCACAGCGTAAAAAGTCTCCAAACCTTTTGGAATAAAAAAATTGTCTCGACTGGAGTCAAGAAGAAGTACCGACTGGAGCTCTTCATAAACAAAAGGGCTGAAGCTAAAATGAAAGTTTCTCTTTTCTTTTGTTCTCTTTCTTTGTTTACTGCGGCCAACTTTACTTTAAGCATAGTTATGCTTTAAGAAAAGCGATAAAACGAAGTAAACTTCATACGACCTTTCTTTCTTCCTTTAGCTGTATTGTCTTCACAAGCTTCCATAGTTTCAGATAAACTGCGTATCTAATCCTTGACCAAGGAAGCCCAATAAAAAAAAAATGGATTTCCGCCAAAGCGATCGATTTAAGTGTTGGTTGTCTGGATATGTTGTAAATATGCAAATTTTGGATAATTGAGGCAAAGATGTTACATTTGTTTGAAGAATGTTCTTGAAAACTCCCTCAACACGAATACGAAGCAATATGATGGTAAAAGCTTCATTGCAAAAAAAGTCACGGGTTTCTTTACAGATTTGCTACGTCATTTTTCACAATCGTTAAGAAGATATAAAATTATTGACGAAAAGGAATGACATATATCTAACTCTATCCCATGAGATCCGTGCTGAAAACTGGTTCTTCAGTGTCCATAGCCTGGGTCACATATGATCGCAGACGATCGCAGGCGATCGCACTCGATCATATGCGAACAAAGTTTTGCGATCATGCGATTGGAATGTGTCCAGTACTGATGCTATGCAAGCGGCATGATACCATGACAACCAGTTGTCTGTCAACTTTTACACATGCGTGTGTTTTGTCAAGATGAAAGGTGAAATTGACACGGAACAGTTTATGGAAGAAATTAGAAAATAAGATTGTTTGTTCAATCGCTTTAGCAGAGAATTCTCTCTTTCTTAAGACTTTCTGCACCAAGAAGCGACGTTTCTTCTTTGATCTGGCAGCGAGTCTCCGATAAGTAAAGACAACAAAGCAGAATTTTAACACCTAGTAAAAGTTCAGCGTCCTTTGCGTTCATGTTGGTTTACTGGAGTTACATTGTACTGCCGCTGATTGGTAAACCATGGACTCGGTTGTCACAGATAGCTGCGACCGGCTGCGATCAAATGTGAACATGCGATTCGCGATCATCGGTTAATGGTTTCAGCGATGGTGCGATCGCCTGCGATCGTCTGCGATCGTCTTTGATTATATGTGAACCAGGCTTATGTTTTCTAAAAGCAATTGCAACTTCCAATTTCTGCGAGAAGGATCGAAGTGAAAAGCTTACCGCATGTTGTGGTCCATGGTCACGGTTTAATACTAAATTATTTTGAACAAAGAGCACTCAAGGTGTTCGTTATAAAATATCTGTTCACTTTGAAATTTAATGGCATTACATTACTCCCTGTTTAGTCTTTTCAATATGTAATACTAGAGAGGAAGCTTATGACCAAACATTAGTAAATGATGCAAATTTATTGGTGTGTGTTAGAGGAAGATTTCGTTCACACCATGTCATATAGCATACAAATTTTAATTATTTTTATTATTTTACGTCGGGTTTTCAAGAATTCAGATCTTTTTTAATTATCAACACTAAAAATGAACGATCATTCATACCTCTCGACGACTCCGGTATTTCCAAAGGTGATCAGGTTGAGCTTGTGCACCAACTGTTTAAACTCTGTCAGACGGGATAATTTTAAAAGTGATGGAATCACAACTGAATGCTCTCGTACATCTAATGGTTTTCGCTTTCCTTTTGTTTGCTGTTTGTGCTGAAACGGGGTTAATCTATGCCTCTGATGGGTGATTTTGTTGAGCCAAACTTAAAAACACTTTCTTTCCTATTTATGGTGTAAACTCTATTAATAATCCTGACTCCTCAGGCAAAAAGTATCATAGGCCGCTGCTTAACGTTATCCAATCTTTCTCAACCTGATCGTAGCAAGCATTTATTTTTCATAGTTCGATGGTTTTCAGCACGGATGGTAAATAGTTAAGTTTCTTTGTTTACTGCCAACTTTACTTTCAGGAAATTGATAAAACGAAGTCAACCTCACACGACCTTTCTTTCTTCCAATTTAGCTCTTTTATCTTTACAATCGTCCATAGATTAAGTTAAGCTGAGAATCTAATCCTCGACCAAAGAAGCCCAATGAAAAAAATTAGATTTTCACCGAGGAAATCGATTTGAGTTTTCGGAATATGTTGTATACATGCAATGTCTGGATAATCAATGTACAATATTGCATTTGCTTTGATTAATATTTTTGAAAATTTCCTCAACATGGATACATATAGGAAGCAATAAGGTAGAAAACGCTACATTACAGCAAAATTCACGGGTTTTCTTTACAAATTTGCTTTGTCATTTCTTACGATCATCAAGAAGATAAAAAATCGTAGATGCAAGGGATGGTGTATATCTAACTCTTTATGCCATGAGACTCGTGCTGAACACTTGTTCCTCAGTGTCCTATATTCTCTCTATTTCTATTCCTTTATTTTTAAATGTTGGTTCCTAAATGGGCTTTATAACGTTCTTAGCCTTGGCACGTATTTAAACGCAACTTCCGCTTTTTACAATACAGAGCGAAGTCAAAAGCCTATCGATTGATGAAACATCTAATTTATTTTGTTTACCCCACTGCCATGGTCACGGCTCAATACCAAATTATTCCAAACGAAAAGTACTACATGTATTCGTCACCGAAATTTCATGACACTGCACAACTTTCTGTTCAGTGTTTTCAATGTGTAATACTAAAGAAGGAAGCTAATGAACAAACATTACAGAAATTATGCAAATATATTGGTGTGTGTGTTCAGTAGAGGAAGATTTCATTCACCCCATAACATAGAGCATTCAAGTTGTTCGTTTTCTTATTATTTAAGGTCGTGTTTTCAAGAATTCAGGTCATTTTGAATTACTAACTGTAAAAATAAACGATCATTACCTCTTGACGACTCCGGTATTTCCAAACGTGATCAGGTTGAGGCTTGTGCGCCAACTGCTTGAGCTCTGTCAGACGGGATGATTTTAAGAGTGATGGAATGACAACTCGAGCATCGGTTGGTTTTCCTTTCCTTTTTTCTGCTGTTTGTGCTGAGACGCATTTAATCTATGCATCACTTCTCTTTTGCTTTTGTTTGCTGTTTGTGCTGAGACGCATTTAATCTATGCCACAGTTCATTGCTATTGTTTTGCCAAACCTCTCTTAATTGCCCCGAATCCGAACGGGAAAAAGCATTGTCGGCCTTTGAAGATAGCTGTTTAAGACGCCTTGTACAGCCTCATTGTGGTAAGCATTTGCTTTAACCATTCCAACTTTGACAGCGCGGACGGACTTAGATTGGGTTATTTAAACCGAAAAACGCAGAATAACGATTATTAATAGCTATTGTTCATCCGTTTAAGTGGCTTTAGGAATGAGCTAAATTCTATGTTTTGTTCTCTGACGTTTCCTAGAGTGTTTTGGTTTTTTCGTTCTATCTTGTTCCGTTAGTGCTGAAAAGGGGTTAATGTATGCCACAGGTCAGTGATTTTGTTTTGCTACAATAGAAAACTTGTTCTGTTTATGAATTAAGCTGTACTAATTACCCCGACTCTTGGGCGAAAAACATCACCGGCCTTTGATGAAAGCTATCCAATACACCTTGCTGAACGAAATAATGGTACGCTTTTGGTTAAATCCCTCTAAGGATATCAGCAAGGATGTAAAATTTCGTCTGTAGTTAGTGCTAATTAGACCAAACCCTCAGTATAATGATTATCATGATTGAATCAAAATAGCACACACTTCAAAAATGTGTAAATCGGAAGCTATATTTCATCTTAAAGCTGATAAAATTTAAAACGCGGGAATCATTAGTTAGATATTTCATCTGATGGCAAGTGTGCTTAACATAAATTCAACAATGTTTGATAAATCAAATCAACATCCTTCGCGTTTGAATGCACAACCAATTAGAATGCATAGCGTCGTAAGCAGTCAATGGACACAAAGGCGATGGGGAGTCTTCCAATATTTTCATTTATTGCAGCAGGAGAATTTTTTTGCAATATCCACACTGAAGAAAAAAGGGCTCACACATATGACATGGCGGGTTGCTACTTTAGCCAGTCCGGTTTCATAAAATATACGTTAAATTCACATACCCTTGAAATTCGAAATAAAGTGATTAACGCAAACAGAAGGTCATAGACCGGTTCACGCTCTTGAGTGCATGCTGGGTAATTAGGGCAAGCAAATCCAAAATGGCGGATACGAACAACACTCTTTTGCTCGATCTGAATACTTATAGTTCAATATAGAAGTCACAGCTACATTTTGAGCTCTTTATGTTATTGCCATCTCGCTCAAAAGTCGTTGACAGTTCAATATCCCAACAACACGATCATGGCCACGCACCTCGAAGATTTTTTGGAACTTTCATGTGGGGAATTGCAGTTTTATCTTAAACAGCGAGGTTTGCCCTCTGGAGGGACACACTCGGATCTTGCCCTAACCAGGCGGCGGTAAAATAATAAATTGGTAGTTGAAGAGTGCAATATGTTTGATTTGTATACGTGCAAGTACATCATGAGAACTATGGATGAAATCGCCTAAAAAAAACCAAAGCGACATTCCCATTATGTCGATAAAAGATGATCCTTTACTTCCAATTTATTTCTTCTACGTTCTTTGCATTTTGGTGATGGGAATTTATCTTCGATAACGTTGCTTATTCGATTGTGATATTTAGCTTCTTGAACTTGTCCTTTACCAAAAAAAATAAGAACAACAACTACAACAACAAAAAGCTTTTTCGCGGCAACAGAAACAAAATGTCAAAAACACCTCTGTAATGAACACAGGGACTTATATGATTATCTCTTATCTAAAGAATGGTGCTATATGAGCTCATGATAGAGATGGAAAGTTTTGTAAATTAACAAAGGAGCTATTTAAGAGGGCTCAGAGCTACCTTAACGTTTATCAGAATTAATATTTCATCCAGATTTCAATTTGTTTTCACGAGCTTCACCCACGAATTTTCTTTTTGTCTTTACTCGCAAATTTTGCTTTAACTTTTTCTTCACTTACTAACTTCCTTTTACCTTTCAGGGATAACAAACGATATTTGAAGAAGGAATCACGTGTCACGCCTTTGCCTGAGATTATGGTGCATTCAAATCCAACGTACGTTGGTAACGCTGGCATTCAAGACAATGATCCTTGTTATATGGAAATTCAAGACCTTGAGGACAGCACTTTGGGATTCGCTAACATGAATTATAAGCCCTACGATGAAGCTGATGAAACATGTGACGATAACTACAAAAGACAATTTAAGAGGCCTAATGATCAGATTGCATAGAGTTTTTACTTTGGTACTGCCTCAGCTATTGCGTTACACTCCAGTGTAGCTGTCATATTCCTACAGACATAATATTGTATCCTTAATTAATACAGGCCGTTGAACTGAACCATGAGGTAAAATTTAGTAGCACGATTGAACTTCCGAACCTCAATGTGCATATTCCCGATACTGTTCTATCTACGTTTCGTAAGGTGCTGAGTAAGGGAATTAGCAATCAAGAGCTTTATCTGGTGACCATTTCCTTTATTCTTGTGACCTAAATGTTTGATTCCGTTATCAGTTTGTAAGGAGAATCTAGATGCTAATCATTCTTAGGGGTCAAAGGGTTAAAAGTAGCTGAGACTGAAATTTTCTTAATCATATTTCGAACTTGGGTCCTTCGTCAAACGTAGATTGCTTTCCATTGGAATACAAGATGCGAATTTTATCCAAGTGAGTTCACAAAACCATTAAAAAAAATTGCATTTGATTTAATAACATGGGTAGTTGCGGTTTTATGCATAAGCTAGGGTATCATTCACTTCGATGCATACCAGTGCCGTAAATCAAATGCATAACTGAGTAAACATACAAGAGACGAGTATAACGCAATGGAAGAGATCTGCTGTTATTTATCGGTCCGGACTGAATGAAGTGCAACCAAAAAGTAACACACACGAAAGAGTATGATATAGAAAGCGAAAAATTTCGTTCTTTAGAGAAGACAATACATTTTAGTTCGCGTTTTAGTTGTTATTTTGCATGCGCTTTCTAATATTTTAGAAAGGTGCGGATGAGGTGTTTATTTCAATTAAGATCATTTCGCTTTAACGCGTGCCGGTCACCCTAGTAATGAGTCACACGTCACGATTACAATAGGCAAGCAATTTATCTTTTGTTTGGATTTATATAATTATTCTAAAATTTATTATCAAAACTATTTGCAGTGATGACAGTCACGATAATTGTAAATATACAAGATAATTGTTAGCTCAATTGGTAGAGCGCTGCACTAGTATCGCAGAGGTCAGTGGTTCGAATCCCGTACAGGCCTGAAATTTTTTTCAGGTCTGATTTTCACTATTGCTCAAATAGTGCTTTACTGCGAAGGATCGTGCACATATACGTAAATTGTAAATATTCATCATCGCTTTTGCCTAAGTTTTTCTTTATTCTATACATTTGGTTATGGACTAGGTTACCCTCATTTCAATAAATCGATATCTAAAAGAATGCGATTATTTCGTAAAAAATATAAAGTACAACAGTGACAAAGAATATTTCAAACTCCCACCAGAAAACAGTGACTAAAGACTCTTCAAAAAACCTTTTTAATGGCAAATTATTCATTTTTCAAAGGTTACGACTGATAACGTTAAATCAAATCATTCACTGAGGTTTCTCATCACTCCTTTCCAAAAGTTTTATAAATTTTTTTTTAAATTTGATTAACTCGATTCAAAATTTTGTCGTGCCCAACATTGAAATAATCTACACTTTAAATAGTGAAAAATAAATAGTGAAAAATATACATAAAAGAATATTTTTCAGTATTTATTTTTCTCTAAATACAAAAGAATCAAAGGTATTTGGTGTGTTACATCTTGTTAAATTTCTCTATAAGGATGTTTGTTGTAAATAGTGTCTTCCTTGGGTAGCAAGCTGAAAATACCGTTTGGCATTTCATTAAGAGTAAACTCACTTTTAAGGATTTACCCATTAATTTTACTTCCTTGCAAACAGTAGCAGTCTCCTGTTTATTGCCTGCTTTCTGCCCTGTCAAAATTGGGCAATCTGTTTCTATCTGTCTTTCTAAACTGAGTGATTCAGAACGATTAAATATACTACTTCGATTCTTTAACTTTACCACAATGAGAGGGAAGATCAGATGGCACACCATTTTTTGGTAGGTGATCGACCACCTTCCACTCAACATGGTAAACAGAAATTTCATAGCCCCACCCCTCCTCTCCCCAACAATTTTTCATTGTTTTGTTACCAGGAAACATTGCAATGGGAAAGGAAGGGGGAGACATAAAGGGAGAGAAGAAAATCTAATTAGGAGGCAGGGCAAACCATGACTTGCCACTCACTGAAGATTCTCAGGTATCATGATGGTTTGCAGCTACGTGATAAATTTTCATTTATATCTAAAACAAACCAAGCAAAAAACCTTTATACCCCCTTACCTATTAAAGATTACAAAATGGAAAGAATATGTTCTTCCTGACCCAGAAGTAAACCGAATCTAGATTGCTACCCCAGTAGAAAGAAAAATAAAAGGAATTCTGCAGACTTCTAGTAAATATTTGATCTTGCAGGAACTCATTCTACTGAGACTTACCTTTCGAAACAATTCCTCGAATTTTACAATCATTTTTTCGTAATTCAGCAAGGAAAAAAAAAACTTAGTCAACAAAATGTGGGATATTGCTTTTTGACCCAAAATGTGATGCTTTCTCTTTTCTTATATCAAAAGATAAATGAACTTCTAAGTTATAACTCAAGATAGCCAAATGTTGGCAAATGTGTTGGGCATGTTCTGGGTCCTATGGGCTTATCAACCCTCTTCATGTATCTTAGATGAAAAAATAAAGAAGTATATAAATAAAGGTAAATAATTTAAGTAATACCTAAATTCATAAAATAATTAAATTATTACAAAAAATGACGGAAAAAAGAATAATAATCCATGTGCGTTACGTCCACAAGAAAGTAAAATCGCACACACGGAATAAAGCCCCAATTGGCACAGGGGAATAAAACCCCAAGCATTCATGGACCCACATACATACATACACATTCCCAGCGTCCGTTCTTGAATTTCTGGCCATTCTTTTCCAAATTACGTCCTATAAATTTAGATGTTAAAAATTGTAAACGAGGAAATACTTATGTGGAGGTGAATACCTCAAGCTATTCGTCTGATTAAAAATAACAATTTACGTCATAGGCTATAAACATTCATTTTCAGTTTCCCTTTTAATGTCTCCTTCAAAGGATTAACACATTGAGAGACAACAAAAACTTTTGTTAAGCGAAGAAGAATTAATTTTCATGTTTCGTGTATTCTGATATCTGTTTATACTCCTGCTTCAAAACATTTTGTCTATAACAGATGCAAGACCGTCTTGATTTCCAAGAAAAGGACGGAGAAGTGAGTTCGTAAGAATTCGCTTGGGATTTGATCAATTGTACTGTGAAAGATGACCGAATAAACTACGACAGATGATGAAAAACTCATACTCAGGAAACCTCATGGGGATATTATGCACGTTTCTTTAGTTTCTCTTCGGCAAAAACATTCTATATTTTTCTAGCCTAAAAATGATCTATTTTTTCTGGGACTGAACTGACGGAAAGCGATAGTACCATTTCCGCATTGCATTTGGCAGAGATCATCTTGAAATTAACAACCAGGTAGACAAAATTTTTTTGCGACACTGAGATAGGCGTAGTCTATCTCAGTGTTTTGTTCGGACATTACCGAGAAATTTGCTGCTCACAAACTCTATATGCAGCATTTATGTTTATTGCTTATGGAGGTTTGTTCATTTTTAAAATGATAGAAAGTCACGAAATCCGTTGAGTAAGAAACTTTTGATGAGGTCTTACATCTATGCCTCTCACTGTTTCATCCCTTGATCGCTTCCTGAATTTTTGATAATTATAAAGCTCTTAAAATGCCAGGAAAGAAAAAATTTTTTCTTTACCTAACAGCAATGATTTTTACTGGATTCGACGAGCTTAATTGCAAGCTAATAATGCGCGTCCAACCAAGTACATATTCAATGTATATATGAAGTTCATATATTTTGAACTGCGGTATTAGATACGTATGATGCACGATCCTCGCAGTAGAGAGCACTATTTATTCACGGGTTTATTACGAATCAACTTAACGGCCTGCTCCCAGTTGGCTTGTTAGCTCAATTGGTAGAGCGCTGCA